TCGAGACACAACATTATAAATGAATGGTAAAGAGACAGTAAACTAGAGTGAAAATAAAAGCTTCATTAAAGCTGCTGTAAAACTAATTAAAATCCCAAAGAACTGTTCACTGAAATATGTGACATTTACAGAAACCAATGCCTGTTTTATAGACGAATGAGAGAGGAGGTGGATTTCAATGATAAAAAATTATATAATGGGCATCAAAAATGGGTACCGTCCTTGCCAATAAAAATTATAACAACTTATGTACTGTTTGCCAAATTTCAACAAATAATATTTGATGATGTATGATTTACTTTAAGACACATAGCAAATTTGATAGACATCATATCGGGAGTAATTTACACTGTTTTAAGAAACGTTTGACGGTAAAAAAAGCTTAGTACTCAAAGGTCACCCTTTATTTTGAAAAATGAGTGAAAACGACAGCGTGTACGAATGTCTTAACAATTATTTTAAAATATCAGTAATTGCAGTTATCCACGTTTGTTTGATATTCAAACAGATAATGGAACATGAATCTATTGCTAAAAACCCTCAAAACAAAATTTACCATAAGATGTACTTGATAAAAACAGCGAAGGTCTGACAAAAGCAAAGCTATGCAAGAGCACAAAGACAGATTAATATGCAATTTTCTTAAATATTAGTGGTATTGTTGTTCAAATTCGTATTCGGGGAGACAGTTTAATTTCTGGAGGAGTCTAGAAAGCACTTTTTTGCAAAAAAATCGAAAAGTTTATTAGAGGAAGGACCCAGAATCAGGACTACACTACATTAAATTTCTTCATGACAGCGTCCAAACCCGCACGCCCTGAAGAGTAAAGGGGTTTTCGGGATAAAAGAAAGTTAATGTTTTCTCACATTAACAATTTTCGCCAGATCTTTGACCTTTTGACTTGTTTCTATTTCCAAACTTGAAAAAAACACCTTAATTTCAGAAGGAAGAAACAAGTCCAGGAAATAATAGGATCTGCCATTTTCCAGTATACTAAGGGTCATACCCAAAAATGAGTTCTAAAAACAACCAGAAATTGGATAATAAATGTTACGGACATGTGTTTTAATTAAAAGAGATTAATAAGTAAAATCATGAAGGCTAAATCATTGAAAAGCGTCTTTTGCTTCTTTCTGAGCACCGAGGACATTATTTATTGAACAACTCTCGTAAAACGAATTTTAATATTTGGAGAACATGGGCGAATGAGAGAGAAATTAGTCCAAGTTGAAACTAATTTTGCTTTAATGCTACAAAAGCTCAGAGAACGGATCAAATGAGTATTTCAATTTTTGTTTTAAAGTAGACATTCTCGGGAAGTGCATGTTCAATTTTCTTTAAATCACTGCCCGTAGGAAAATGGTGGAACCACAACATATATAGGATCAAACGGGACCTTATTAATGGCATGTAAATGACATTAGGATGAGTCTGTACTCCAATAGTGCAAATTCAAGTTTGTCAATATAAGATAAGATAAGATAAGCTTTATCTAAAGTCAGTATAGTAGTTAAAAAGTAACACAAGCTCTAATGAGCTTTTGACTGACATTTTTTAACATATACATACCGGTAACAGTAAAACAATGAAAACATGCAGCACAATATAAACATGGAATTACTTGCAACAATACAGCAAACAGTCTCATTAAGAGGACATATCAGGTAAAGATACATAAAAAAAAAACACATGTACAGACACATAAACAATACAGCACAGATGCATAGAGAAAGCAAAAGATAGAGATACATATAAGTCACACCTTTACAAACACGCAAGCAGTACATCGACAGAGACATAACAAAAATACAAAAAAAAAACAAAAAAGGACATAGAGGTAGGATGGAGGCACAAGAGAGACAAAGTTTTACTTGGAAATATGTAAGAAAAAGATTGTTTTAAAGAATATCAGAACCATGATTACTATATGTTATAAAAAGGAAAGCATTTTCTGGTGGTACAGATTCAAGTTTATCGAATCATGGCCTACGCAGGTATGGCGTGTCCACAAGTGGGTATCTATGTCACATAAAAAGTTTAAATCTAAAGTTTAGACTTATCTATAACTATCTTTTACATGCGAATATATAGAAAGAGAGAGAAAAAAAAACAATTATAAATCTTCTTCTCTAGACATGCTAGTGGTTGATTGTATGTTGTTTAAACGTTCTCGAGAATTTTCCACTCATATGAAGACACCACTTGCCGATGGAGAGCTACAAATTTTGTCCTATACTAGGCACTCAGGGCCATTGAGAGGTTTTTTTTCGTGCCAGCATCTACTGCGACACGTGACCTCGGTTTATACGGTCTCATCCGAAGGACCGGTCTCCACTTACCACAGTGGGATTCTTACCCGCGACTCCTTACTTCGCGACTCTAGAGCAGGCGCTCTAACCACTGCGCCAAGCAGGCGACTACATGCTAGTGATATCATGTTGTAAATTTTTAATTTACTAGGGGGAGGTAAATGCAAAATTTACAACATGTAAATTTAGATCCGCTACTAAATTCAAAATTTACAACATGATTGTGATATAAAATAACAAACTCTGAGGTATTGCGGATTCAATTTATTTCGAAGAATGGTTTCCTGGGCGGGGTGGGTGAAAAAAGGGATCAAAAGTTTAAGGGAATTTTAAGGGGGAAATGTTTACAATTTACAACCCCCAAGGACTGCTAGTCCATAATTAGGTTGTAAAATAGATTTGAACAAACCGCTATAGCACTTAAATTTGAAGTCATTCGTGATCAAAGTAACATAACATGAAACGAATTTTCATATTTCTAACTCATTAATCAAGATCTATAACGTTTTCTTTGAGATAATACTTCAATTAGAATATTTTTCTGGAAGTTGTTTCGATGTTTCTTTCACAAACTTAATTATCAAATATACTATCATACGTACATGTACTTGCAAATTTAAGTAATCTTTTGTCTGGAAATTTATCTTAATTAGACAGCTACCGTGTCAGGCATCACATAGGGTGAGAGTGAGAAAATCAATACATCTACCTGATCACATTCCGAAACTTCGAAATAAAAAGTGGCGCAGTGGTTAGGGTATCTGCACTAGAGTCGCGAAGTAAGGAGTCAATCCTTAAGTCGCGGGTAAGAATCCCACTGTGGGACGTGGAGACGGGACTGTATACACCGAGGTCCCGTGTCGCAGTAGGTGCTGGCACGAAAAAGATCCCTCATTGCTCAATGGCCCTCAGTGCCTTGTATAACTCTCCACCGGCAAGTGGTGGCGTCTCCATATGAGTGGAAAATTCTCGAGAGGGACGTTAAACAACACACAATTAATCGATCAAAATTAAAAAAAAAAAAAAAGGTTTGGATGAGTTAGGAGAAATTAATTTAGACCGTACAAAATGTTGAGATATGATGATTTAGACATGATAAATTATTGGAGAAGTTTTATTTAGCGATATATACTCCCTGCAAACAAAGGTAAAGGGAGGAGATGGAGGAGAGGAGGGGGTCACCTTGTCCGGACGGATGGACCAGATTACAACAATATACCCGAACGTTACTATATGAAAGTACGGGTATAAAAAAAAAGAATATATATATAAAGTTGATAGTACACTGGCTTCAAAACGTAATTAAAACTTCTCTTCCGTGAAGATGGAAGTGTTTGTGAAGAACTGCCCTTCCTTACAATTCAAAATTCAATGAATGACAGCTGTTCAAAATAATTTGAATAAATTTCTCTTTTTAATTAAGAAAAAATTCTCTCCAATTTCATAGGTCCATTCGACAAACCTCGGCCGATTTGTGCCTAGTCTATCGCTCTATTCTATACCTTTGTCTGATGAAGACGACGGAATCATCCCAGATTAAACGAATGCGCACGGAGCCACCAATTTGCGTCATCAGCGAAATTAATGAAAGTTTATCTATAATTAAAACGGTTTTATGTAAATTTCAAGACTTCAAACACATATGTAGATAGAAGCCATCAGTAACAATTGCACTAAATTCTGCAAAGGGTTTGTACTTCTGAGGTGTTAAATGATTTTTTTATTTAGTTAAGACAGAGACTTTACATACTTTCTAACAATCGAGAAGAAAAAATAAAATTATTTATGTATACATTAATCAGAATAAACAGAGCGGAGAAACTTATCTAATCCAAAAATTACTTGTTCCATAGGAATTGGAAAGATTAAATCAATTGAATATATACAAAAAGGTTCTTTACAAAGTCTACATCGTAATAGATAAGATTTTTGAATCCCCACAACATTATAAACAAGTTTTACTGTAGTTGATAAATTGTTATTTCAAAGAGCTACTTCTACAGTCTTTTCTATTTCATATTTTTGCATTCTATTTTTTATATATTTTATCTATTTATTTATTTAAAGTATATTTATTTCCGCTTCCGAGGTTTATGGGTTTTTTTTTTCTTTAATCATTGTAATATTTTAAAATCCGCATACCCAGAACCAAAGACAGCAATTCATTATTTGAATTGATTCTTTTTTTTTCAATTATATCACATATACTGCAAACATAAGAATAAAGAAATCAGATGATATCGCGAAAATTGTCCTTAAAGTAAATACATCAGTTTAGTGACTCTTTCACATTGAAAAGCAAGCTATGAAATTAAATTTAAATATTGGAGGAAAAAATGATTAGTTAAAAAAATAACATGATGGTTTATCGATTTTTAACATCACTTATTGACTCATTTTTTAAGATCCCGGCTAATTCGCCAATGCTTTGAAAGTTAGTGGATTTTTTTTTTTCAAAAAAAAAAATTCTTGCCTAAAATATTTGTAACGTTATATTTCAATTAAAAAAACCCTGCAAAGATATAAAGTTAGCGGCGATATTGCATAAAAACTATGAACGCAATCCGGATAAATTTTTATTTTTAAAAAAATATAATAATTTATTAATCACATTATCACAGTGTCAGTGGCATTAAAAATAGGTAAACAAGTACAAAAATACTTGTACCTATAATTTAAAAAAAAATGCTTTATCTAAACTGGAATGATTTTAACACGTTGGAGTTGGAATATCCTACAAGGAGAGTAGATCCATCTCCTAGAAGACCAATACAACAAGGTCTGGAGGGGCAGTCCTCCTGGGATAGAATTTCCCGGACATCCCCCTCCCTCGAGATCTGGAAGACGTTATGTGACGTCTTCCCACAAACGTAAACATTGCCCTGGTCATCGACGGTCATTCCCGCCGGATTCTCGAACTCGGCGGCCTTGAAGGCAAACGTCACTTGTCCATCTAGGTCAATGATGATCAGTGCATGTGAAAAGCTGTCCGAAATGTACACTTTATCTTCATGGTATAAAACATACTGTGGCGCCCGAAACGCCACTGGAGAATCCTGGATTTCAATTTTTCTCTCCGTGATCCCGTCGTAGGTCATGACCCTTAAATGTGTGTCCGATTCAAAAGGCAAGAATGTGCCAATCAACTTTCCCTTAAATTCAGTCAATCCCCAGCATGCCTCATCCAGGATAATCTCCCTTGTCTGAGTTATTTTACGTAGTGTGAAATCAATGGTCAAGGTCACTAATTTCTTGTCACCAGGGAGACTGACAATAGCCTCTTTTTCGGAAATCAAAGTAAAATCCCATGGAAGTGACGATAGCGTTAAATGGGCAAATGTCCAGCCACGTAACGTGAACACCCGAAACTCACACGTGCTCCGAGCCACTGCCATTATGTAGCTGTCCGTACATCGCATGGACGTGATTCCACCTTTTCCTAGAACACCCAGTCCAAATAGCCGGATGTCACCGTTTTTACGATTAGAGAGCGACCTCTCTTTGAAGGGTTTGACATTGTCCACCGACATAAAGGGAGGTAACTTTGATGAGCCCCTGGTTTCCTTGAGAGTTCCGATCGACGAGATGATGTTTGGTAGAATCATTATCTCTTCATTTGGCACAAACTGGTAGGATACGTACTCCGTGTCGTTATATAACTCCCGGAGATATTTCTCATACACTAAATATTTGACTTTCAGTCGGAGATACACTTTAACAATGGTTCCAGGTACTGCTTTCTCCACGGCAGAGAGGAGGCTGTCTATGTCAGATTGGGCCATGTATTTCACACGCTTACATTTCTCCATATGTTGATGAATTTTCTTAATATTTTGTTCTATTTTGGTAGATACCTCATTTTCTATCACTGCAGCCTTTTTACTTATTATGTTACCAAACTCACTCTTCATCGACTGGATGTTCGGAATAATCTCGCTTCTTTGTGATTCGACCTGTTTCTTCTGTTCAAGTCGGTCTTCTAACATGATATCTGCGAATTTGACACACCTCTTGTAGTTTGAAATAACCTGAGCTATATCAATCTTTTTTGCCAAGGAATCAATAGAAACTGTCCCTTTACAATCGGTGTGGGGATTTTTACAGCGCAGACAGAAGATGACGTCATGTTCCGGACAGTACAACTCGTTCTCCAAGTCCTCAACTTCATGATCGTGGTTACTGGCCAAGGCGTTCAGATATTTGGACTTAGATTCGAACCCTTCGTTAAGCGGTGCCCTCCTCCCCCACCGCTGGGGCCGCTGTGGCAATTCCCGTTCGGATTTTGAAATTTTTTGAGATGCGATAGCCTTTAACTGCTTTGAATTAGCTTTGTCTAGAAGTACTATGGCGTGATTTTGAGACCATTCTTTCATTCGATGGAGCTTAGCGCAATTATGGCAAAAGAGCTCCTTACATACAGGGCAGTAGAACGTCCCTCTGGAATAAATCCGACTGAAACTACATGGTCCGCAGACGAACTCGGACAAGGCAGGCGTTTTCGGTCTGGCCGACGGGGAACGAGACGATGGAATGTCCTGTGTCAGCATTTGTTATCTTAAAATTCATTTGTTTCTCCCTTGTGAATTAATTTTACAGCTCACATCAAAAAGATGACATTAATAAAAACTCCGAATTCTCCCACAGCTAGAAGTTGGTTTTCCGCGAGCTTCTGTATAGATTCCGCCCGTCGCTTGACTGGCTGTTCCGAGCTTTGACTTCGTATGTGTTGGGGAGCCTTCTGTATGGTGACAATGAAATCGATCGATTCCATATAGTCAGGCTTTTAACAAACGATATTGTACTATTTTCACATGAATATTTAAAATTCAATTTATATAATTATATATATTTGAAAGGTAGGCCGATTTTTTTATATATATTATGCTGACTTACGTAATAACAGAAATTCTGTGGTCAAAAAAATAAAATTCAGAATCGATGATTATTTTTTTTATTGGTATGATCATAAGGCTTATTTTTCGCCGCTTTTACTGAGTCTCTCGGTGCAGCTTTAATGAATTGTTCAATATCTAATGATGTATATAGACCTAAATGGACCATTCTCTGGTGATTGAAACGGTGATAAACTCTCGTTTAGCTTAATGTATTTGTACGTCTTTAATCTAGTTACCTTGTCTCTGATCTTGCATGTGTATTAAAAAGAGAATTTGTTTGAATTCTGCAGTCAATGACTTCGTGGCGGAATATACTCTTGCGTTACTGAGAGCTTTGAGTTTGTATCGATTCCATTCGACAACAAAATGTTCATTTCAGAGACCAGAGAAATTACATGATGTTATCTAGAAGAACTTAACAAAAATCCTTGTGGAATTCACGTACAGACTCAGATAAAAATAAAATTTAGAGTTAATAAGTAAATCCTTGTGGAATTCACGGGCTCAGATAAAAATAAAATTTAGGTAAATTAGTATTATCTTTTATTTCAAAAATTGAACACAAAACTTGAATCACAGAATAATAGGGAAAAACCTTTCTGTGTAAAATTCATATTGATTTTCAACAAAATTCAAATTTTATTTTTTTATCATCCAATCCACATCATTTTTTCAGAACACTCCATATGTAATAATTATAAAATGATTAAAACAAAGGTTCGTTCAAGTACAGCTGTAATTACATAAACCTCACTTCTAGTTGATGGAATTTTTTCTTGTTGTTTACTTAAGCTCTTTACACTCTTGATCTAAAAATAAACCATTTTAGCGAAAATAGATAATGGACGCCATATACATGTAAATGTATAAATGTACATGGAAATAAAGACTTCTATAAGCTTATTAAAAGAATCTGCCCCCCGCTGATGTAGGGAAGGCGAAGAGGGGTGGACAGTAATACTTAACTAGTGTGAAATTTCATATATACAAAAGCTTATTTAAAGTTTTACACACATACAAAATGTATGAAATTACTACATCGACCTTTGACCTTTTTCTCAAAATAATTAGAGACCTTCCTTACGCCATAGAGTTTCACTGCTAAAGCTCAAAGGCTTCTCGAGATATCGCGCGAAAACAAAAGTGTAAAAACAGACAAAATTTGTCACCTTGGCCTTTGACCTTTTTAACCTCAAAACCAATATAGGCATCTTTCTTATATCATAAGTAGATGATGTATAAAATTTCATTGCCAAAAACTCAAAGGCGTCTCGAGATACCGCGCAGAAAGGAAAGTGTTACAGACGGAAGGAAGGGCGGACAGACAGACCAAAATTATTATTATCCCCCACTGTGTGAAGGGGGGATTATGTTCAGGAAAAAATGTGTGGCGAGGGGGGAGGTGCCCTGAATATCCCACACCCAGATCATATATACCTGAAATGTTATGTTTACCTGCCTAAGAGGAAGTCGGGCGCAAGTTAAATAATTTTCCAAATCTGCATGTATCAAATTGGAATTTACCGATCTGTTTTAGTCCATGCAATGTAGGAAAAATAAATTATATTCACCTGGACGGTGACATCAACATATTAAGGTAAAAATAAAAACGTAACCTTTTCTTTGATCTTGACTTCAAATTTGAGTGAAATAAAGTTCCAGAGAAATAAATCAAGACATTTTTATTAAACTTTAAATGCTGATACATATTGAGGAGAGCTATAGTATTTAATTCCATCAACATTCCCACCATGTCCTTGAGCTTTCCTTTGACCTACTTTTCTCAATTTTATTTTCTCAAAGAATCTATTCCAAATATTTTTTATGTAAGCTTATGCACTCATACATGTATTTAACTGGTGAGAATTTATCAAATGTGTCCTTTTCTTTTTTATTTTGGTCCTCCCAATGACCTTTGACTTTACTATTTAATGTTTTTGATTCAGTTTAAAAGAAACTATTCAATGTAAATGCATCTTTAACTTCATGTGAATTTACTAATTAACGAACCCTGGGCAGGGCATTCGTGCCCTATGGACATACTAGTATTTCTTTATCTGTGTCTCTTTGACACCTAAGGCCTGAGCATTCAGCATGGGCAACATCTTTGTACAAACCTTCACATTATCTAACTTTCAGAAGGTCGTTACTTTTTGCAAGATTCGCCAATCAAAAGCCATGCGGTGAATTTATGTAGCAGCAGATCTGTAGCTCTCTGGTCTGAAAAAATTGAGACGGTCTGCGGTCTGTCAATATATTATTTTTTTCTGGGAGCTACTGTTCTGCAGTTATGAATTCATGTTAACATAAACTTTTGTTTTGTTTTAACACATTACTAAACGTGTTGCATGTAGAGCTAACTGGCACCTGATGGAAAAAAATCTAAAATTTTAGAGGCAGTATCACAATTACACTTAAGAGGAAATCTAGGTACATTCGAACAGTACTTAGTATAAAGGAAATCGATCTACATGCAGCTAAACACAAGTGCAGAGAGAGTTCAATAAGTTCATATTTACCAAAGAAAATATTAGAATACAGCTTTATTTACTAAGTGCAGGTAATTAAAATTAATATTCTTGCAATTGTGTGGACCATATAACTTGTTGATGATTTCAAACGAGACTGTTGATATCCTTGTACCATCAACTTGTTTGTCAATGGCTTGCTTCATTTTTTTTAAAAATCGTTCATACGTAGAGCCTTCTCTTGTATTACAAGTAATGGTTTTATTAAATATTTTCAATTCAAGTTTGCTCAAATCATGGCCTGAGGTCAAATATATTTTTTAAATAAAAATACATATATTAAAGGCCGAGATTTTTAACCGTACGGTTTTCTCGGGTAAGGGGAGGGACTTGAATTTAGTTTTCTTCTATAAAACATGTCATTACATTTTTATAATGTATATACAACTTTCAATATCTATACATAGGAAGAAAAAAGGGAAAAAGAAATATTGATATACAAACATGTTTGTTTAAAGGAAACATACATTCGTTACATATGATAAATATATAACTATGTAGAGTTTAAGTGTTAGGCTGTAATTATTTTTTGAACTGATTGAAAATTATATTTATTGATTTCTACATTTCGTGGCAATCAATAATGTTCAATTTAATATTTGGTTTAGTAAGACACAATTAATTTCTGAATAGTTTCTCTCTAGCATGTTGGTACTTATTGCAAACAAAGAAAAAATGATATGGGTCTTCTGGTGTACCACGTGAACAATTAGGACTCTCGATAATGTTTCTTTTATAAAGATAGATCATAATTTAAAATGCAATCGTGTCGTAGTTTAGTATGTATGATGTTAAGTCGTCTATTACCATGGGAGAAATAAGAAGGGGGTCTGCTGGGTTTTTATGTATGTTGTTTTTAAAGCTACTAAAAGATATGCTGTTTCTAGTGGTAATACTCAAATTATTCCATTGGTTTATTGTATCAGGAACAAAAGAGTTCTTAAATATTTCAAGTCTAAATCTAGGAATAGTGTAGTCCTCTCTATTGCGTTTGTCGTACTTTGATTCATTACTTCTTGTTGAGGGAAAATACTTTTTAAATAATCGGGTACCAAGTTGTGATTACTTTAAACATAGTATTAAGTTTTGCTACTTTTTGCCTATCTGCAAGAGGTTTCCATCCTGTTTCTAAATATAATGCATCTCTTGAAGCGATGATTGGTAACCCTGTAATTATTCTTGCAGCATAAAGCTGCACCTTATTTTGTAAACAAGTATGTATACAAGGGGGGGGGGGGGTCTCCAGCAGAAATTGAAGTTACTCAATGTTGTCTTGATTTCACTTTTAATAATTCAAATTTTACATAATATAGTATAAATGAGTGTTTTATTATTAATTTTTTTTCTATTTATTTTATTTATTTTTTTTATTTTTTTATTTTTTTAGGAAGACTAATTTTTATGAATCGCGAGTTTTGTTTTTTTATTTATTTATTTATTTATTTATTTATTTATTTATTTATTTATTTATTTATTTATTTATTTATTTATTTATTTATTCAGCCATTCATTCAGTTATTCATTTACTTTAATCTTGTTTTTGATTCGTTACGTTTTATATACCAGGTAATTCATGTTTTCCCCCTCTATTTAAGAGTTGTGCTTTGAAAAAAGTCGTTGTAAAGTAGGGTGTCTAACTTTTTATTCCTTCATAAACATATATAGCGCTTGAGAGTGAATTGTTTTATATTTTAAATATATTTATATACATATCATATTTTATTATTTTTAATAATATATCATAGGTTATTCGTTATCTCTGTTGTGAATTTCAACCAAGTGAAATAACTCTTCCTGTACAGTCAAGCTTTAAAGAGAGTTATATGCCCTTGAATATTGAGCCAATCAAATCGCTGCGTTCATGCGCTTATTTTGAAAAGTTGAGAAAGAAAATGTCGGACTTGAAGAGATAATTACTCAACGAAACAAGACAAAATGGCAACGAACGGGTAAATTCTATAGCTTTTATTTAGTTTTATTCATATGAAATTAACGTACAAATATCAAATAGATAGATCAATCAGACAGGTCAATATACTACAGCTCGGTATTAATTCAAAAATAGGTTTATTGTTAGATTCAAAGTATGCACAATATTGGAAAAAAAGCGTCAATCAAGGGATA